CGCCAAGTTTCTTCATTATGCCGATGACCCGTTGCGTCGCGTCACGTGGAAAACGATGGCGCAAAACGCGCGCGGGGGCACGTAACGTCGCTGGCACGTTGACCTGCTGTTGTATAATCGATCGTTAAAGGATCGCTCGCTTGCGCTAGCGGCGAGCTTGCAACTTGTTCGCGCGCGCGCGCGCATCGATTTTCTCTTCGCCTCTACTTCGAGAATATACGCCAGATACAGTACAAAAGTTAAAGTCAATATTTTCACGCTTTAACCCACTTTCTATTATTATAATTCGATTATTATAACTGACACACGTTTCTGAGACGAATTTAATACGTTAATAACATTAGTAAAGAACGTTATCGGCGATACCTTCATTTCCATCCTTTTTAAATAAATCCATTATCGAAATATTCCTATTACGTCTATTTCTTGCAAACACTTCGGCATTAATTAACTTTTTCTCAGTAACTGCCACTAAGATCAATATGCGTGATACCGTGAGAGAGATTCTTTTATAAATTGTATATTCTTTTAATAAGTTATAAATTTTAATCGTCCAGCTGTTATTTGTTTAGTTGCCAGTTAACTCCTGACGTATCTGTTATCGAGTTAATAATCGAATAATAAGCGCGCTATTGAGATAAGTATGTAATTGAACTTCCTTTAATAACGTATCGTGAGCAATCGCCGAACATTACAAAGGTGCCAAGTTGCTTTGAGTTCCGTGGACCATGATAATCGAACAGACTTTCGTAACACAAGATTCAGTTCGAATCCGCTACCTCCGGCCTGATCTAATCTGTGGACTTGAGGTGTCCGGAATAGCTCGGGGTGTAACAAGGCAATTGAGAGACGCGATTTGGCTTACCGACACAAGCGCGAGTTTCTAATCAGTAGCGTAACGACGTGGAAAAAAAAACTCTCATCAATGCAATTAAATCGGAAAACAAGTTTTTTTTTCGATATAAAAAACTTCCGATATAATAAACTCTTGCCCTCGTTACGTTAACCAGAAAATTGCAATTATTTTCCGCACAAAAACAGCTGACAGTTTTGAATCGCAAATAGAAGGGAGAAAACATCGAGTTTTCGTTATAACAAATTCATTGATACGGCCAGTGCGATGTATCGATTGGCGATATCGCAAAATAACAAATATACAGCTCGTGCCATTTTACGTTTCGACGTTTTTTTTCGTTGTCACGAGATTTCACGGTAGCGAAACGTCATCCCACGTCGTGTACACAAGTGTATTTTTACGTACAAAAAACCGCACAAGCACCGTTTTTGGAAGCGATAGAATGCGGACTACTATCGCAAATAAGACGAAATTGAGTGCCGACGTGAGGATGTACAACGATGAAACGCCGGACCTGTCAGCAGCGATCCCACCTTCATCGACGTTGAAAGGAGCTACTGCGGCCATGGAGCCGGAGAATGAAGACCTCAACAAATGCCGAGATTTGGTTGCTTCGGATGATGGATGTGATCTGGTCCGAAGAGGGGAAACACAGCCCCCGGTGGGCAAAAAGAGCGAAACGACACACACAGGCGAGAGAAGAAGAACGAGAGAAAACGAGAGACAGATCAACGAGAAAAGATGATAAGGATAGGATCGACGCGAAAAATGTGTCTGTGTGTATGTATATACGAAAGATCGATGGAAAAAGAGAGAGAAGTAAAAAGATTGGTACACTACGTTGTCAGAGATTCCACGAAACTCTCCGAGAGATTCCGTCGCGTCTCACGTCATCAGGAGGAGGCGCCGTTGCGCGCTGTCGACGGATGAATGCAATTTTTCACGGAACGCCATGCGGAAACTCACCGGAAGCCGGAAGCGGGATCGGCGAATCCGCGAAACGCGCGCGAAAGAAGAACAAAGCTGCGGCCGGACGCGCGCTTGTATTTCGCGCAAGCAAAAAAGCACCGCGGCCTTATCTCGCGCGACAAAGAGAGAAAGAGAGAGAGAGAGAGAGAGAAAGAAAGAGAAAGATTGAATGTCATTTGTGATGAATCGTAATGTCTAGCTCCTCGCTTTGTCGCGTATATAATTATAGTCATTCCTCACTTCTCTTCTAGTCGAATAATATCCGCATTGTACGCGGGGAAGGAGAGAAGGCGTATTTATCTCTCTTTCTCTGTTATGAAAAATGGGATTTGATTCTCCAATAATTGGCGATCTGATAACGCAATTGATTATTGCAACTTCTCTACACGGTCGATGTACACAATCGGACATTTGTATTATGTTCATTTGTACGTAATTTTTCGGAAAAAAAAACCAAATTGCACAAACTCAATAGAAATTCAATATCTATGTACTTTGTTTTCGGACTTGTGTGTTTTTCCGAATAAAATTTCAACCGTAAAACGTGTGTTATTGAAAAAGCGAGGAGGATGTAGAAAACGGATCAATGATATCACAGCACAATGACGAGGCCAACGGTCAGCGGAGAGAGGACAGATGTACGAAGACACGACGAGGAGGATATGTAGAGCAGAGAAGGAACAGTGTGGCGTATTACATCAAAGGCTACATCATCGGAAGCGGAAGTGAGATGATGCTTATTCAGTCGGAAGTTGCAACGCGGTTTACTCGCGGTCTCTCACAAGAGAGCAAATAGAAAGAGAGAGAGAGAGAGAGAGAGAGAGAGAGAGAGAGAGAGAGAGGGAGAGAGAGAGAGAGAGAGACAAATGCATGAACGCAAGATGAGAAAAGATAGGTAACTCGTTGCGCTCGTGAGCAGGAAAGTAAAGAGGAGGGAAAGGGAAGATCTATCGGCCTCTCACAAGAGAGCAAATAGAAAGAGAGAGAGAGAGAGAGAGAGAGAGAGAGAGAGAGAGAGAGGGAGAGAGAGAGAGAGAGAGAGACAAATGCATGAACGCAAGATGAGAAAAGATAGGTAACTCGTTGCGCTCGTGAGCAGGAAAGTAAAGAGGAGGGAAAGGGAAGATCTATCGGCCGGAGAGAGGATCTATCGGCCGGAAGACGTAGGTACTTTATCTCTACTGTAACCGCGATAGATAATTCTCTAGAAAAGACTACGTAGAATCACTTTAGTCCGCTCGCTTACTCGCTTGTAACATGAGGACCAAGGCATTTTTCCGATCAACTTTGCATTTTTTATATTTGCGATCCAACAACTTATAATGGAAGGAACAAAAAGAAGATAAAAACGTCGCCGGGAATATTCTAGATGTGTGCGCGAACGTGCGCAAAAAAGACAAAAAACACCACTGAAGGAGACAAATCCTGTTGCATTGGATGTAATAAAGAGAAAGAGAGAGAAAGAGAGCGCGCGCGATTAAGCTGTCGAGTGAATCATTATTATGTCGCGCGAGCATTTTCGCGAGTTGGGTAAACGTAATTAAACGCGTCCAAGCGCAGCCGCACTGCACGCGGGGCTGAAAGATCGGAATTTCCGATAGCTCGTTAAAACGATGGCGCAGCATCCGAGAGACGGAAAACGAGAGCGCGCGCGCGCGCGCGCAGTCGGCTTTGTGTGGCGAAGCGTGATTAATACCGAAATACGAATGACTTTATTCATGACTCACACCTAGTTATGCAGATCGAATTTACGACTAAATCACGCGCTGTCTCTTTCTCTCACGATATCTCCGCAGTTGCCGCTATCGTTGTCGGTGTTATATTCTCTCTTCCTCGCATTTTCGCTCGCGGTGCGAAATCCGAATAACGAGCCCGAATGCGAGCGCGAAGAGGGCACGGAGAGCAACAAAGACAAGTGGCTACATTATGAATATGCCTTAAAGTAGCTTTCTAACGGACCTTCCGCTCGCAACTGGCTCTTTCGTGCCACTCCATTCCGCGTTCTCTCTTTCGCCGTTTCTCTTCCGCTCCGCCTCGCTGTGTTTTTCCCACCTCGCCTCTTCTCCCTTCTCCATCCCGTTTGTTCTCGGACTCTTCCGTCTCTCCTATCTGCCTCCAATATATTCCGGAGTCCGTTTCTCCTCTCTCGTTTTCACTTCTATCCGCCGCCTTCATCGTCCGCCTCGCCACGGCACCAGTTTGCCCGTTCTCGGACCAGGCAGCGCGAGATAGACGTTTATCTCCCAGTTTCTACAAACTCTCCGCTCGCTCGTGTGTTGCGAGGCAGGAAATTCAGGCGATCGATAGAATACCGGCATCAGAATCACTCAACGACGGCGAGTCGCTCATTTCTCTCGCATTCTTGCCCGCTGTAATGCCGGCAACGGCGCGTTACTCAAAAACATCGCGTTAAAGTAATTCCTGACGCGTTTTTTTACCAAATAATGTGTGCTGCAATGTGTGTTTGTTAATGAATTTTGATTATTTCTTTACGCGCGCGTACATATATATATATATATATATATATAAATATATGTAAATAATGTACATCTCGCTTTATATTTAATTTAGAATCTTAATGATAATACATATTTCGCATTAAAATCGCGCATTAAAATCATAAATATTCATCAACTTCAGTCGGAGTCTTTATCTATCACAATGCCGCATAATGCCCGCGGACCGTTTCGTTTAATTCCGTCATAATTAATTCACATCTTTTTCCATCTCTATTCTAAGCCGCATCGAGCGTTAATAAATACCGATCATTTATCAGAAAAGCTTAATACGTTCGCTATAAAATATATAATCGCGAAAAACCGGTCATTTCCCCTCTTTCGTTTATTACGCTATAACGAATCTGCTCAAAGGTAAAATATATCCAATACATTAAATAGAAATTTATCATCAGACATTTCCCCACGCGCTGTCAGTGGCGTAGAGAGCGGCGAAGTAACGTTTTTCGCTGTGTACAGATATATATATATATATACTCGCAATTTTCAAGAAGAAGTAGATGTATAAGAGATTCTTGTGACGCTGTAATCGCACGAACTTGTGCGATTCTCTTCGACCCGAAAAATGAAGTCGCAAGAAGGAAATGTTTATTTAGAAATTGAGAGAAAGAGAGAGAGAGAGATCTCAACGAAGATCGGCGAATTAAGCAATTACTCACCTTCGTGCAGTTTCTCCAGAGTACCCGCGGCCATGGCTTCTGCGAAAAAGAAAGCAAACCAAAACAGCCCGACCATTCTTCTAACTCGATTTCTTGACGTATCCATTCCGTTAGCACTTAGATCCTGCAACAAAAATATAAAAATAAAACCATTAACAGCGCGTTTGAACAGACGCGCGGATGCATAAGCGATGTAATTATCGCGTATTATCCCGTAATGATTGTTAAACGAGCGTTCTTCATTAATTTTAATTATTTAAAATTTCATATCACATACAAAGTCTCTTTTTCACGAAGATGAAAGCTCTCCGAATCTCTCTCCGAAGATTGCGAGTTCTCTCAGCCGAGAAACTGACGCGTCGCAACAGACGCGTCTTAAAATACGAAGAGCTCGCGCGCCGATTAACAGGATTTTAAATATATACCGACGTGCGCGCCTAAGAGGAAAGCGAATCGATGGCCGATGGCGACTCGCCAAGATTCGCCGTGAAATACCGGACGCGGAACGAGCAATTAAGAGAACGCTTGATAAATCGCGACGTTCTTGCGAGCCGATCGTGTGTATACGTATCGTAAGTTTCATCGAAGCGAGCGAGCGAGCGAGTTTTCCGGTGTATGTGGCACGGCGAGCAGTAATGACAAACGTTACGGTTACGACGGCAAAGGTTGTTAACATCGGGCTCGGGGGCAAATATGTTTTTATCACCCGTGCTCGAAAAGCACCGGGGGCGAAACGCTCTCCAACGTCGGGGCAGGAAAGTTCCGGGAGAAGTTCGCGCTGCAGTATCAATAACCAGTTTTCCGGGACGAAAAACTATCCGAGTCTCTTGGAACCGCCGGCGGATATCCTTCCAGGAGATTCTCTCCCCCTCCTTTTCTGGCGCGGAGAAACTGCGGATGGGAGCTTCCCCCGCAGCGCTTTTCTTGTACGCGAGTGCTCGCGCGCGCGCGCGCGCACACACAACCGAGAGAGGAAACAAAATAACGAATGGTACTAATAGAGCGTTCTTGGTCTCCAGGAAACTTTTCTACTGTGTCGCTGCAGCGGTATTGGTCGGTCGGGTACGTCGTAAATCAAAAGTTTCGCACCTCGAGCGCGACTATGTATACGACATTACCGCGCGCAATATCTGCACGCCTTCCGAACGCCTCCCCCTTTTTTCATTGCTAGACATCCAAACGGACTGCACCAAGTTAGAAAGTTGTATGAAGGCGGTAATGATGTGCGGTGCGAACTTACTTTCGCGCGCTAAAAGTTACTGAAATTATCATTTGCAACTATATATATAAATGCGCATGGATACAAATGTTATAATCAAGTTAATGATTCTTGTACGATAATATATCTTGCAATAAGTAAAACGACTCTGTGCGAGTTGCGTAACGCTCGGCATATTCGATATGCGCGCGAAACGGCAAAGTGATAAAATACGAAGATTAAAGCGCGCGCAACGACGGTAAATTTACTCTTAATTATAATGCATCTGTTCGTACAACGAGACGGTAAAGGGGATCAAATGAAGAGAAAATCGAAGTACCATCTTCAGAATTTCCCACCGGTATTCTATCCCCTCCCCCTTTCTTCTCCTCCCCTCGCCCCTTTCTCCTCTTGCGACTCTCTCAACGACGTTCTCGGTTTCTCAGGTCTTGAGTATGCTTTCGAGCAGCGATGCACTCATGGCATACTAAAACGTCTCACTCAATCAGTTCGGCTTTACGCAAAGGCGGCATTTCTAGGACGCTCGTCCTTGGATCTGTAATTTGCGCGGTGCCCTCAAAGCCACCCCCGGACTCAGCTGTACCCGTCTCTTGCTTTAACGATTCCGATAGTAGGTAGTACACGTAACTGGACATTCCTTTGGCCGCTTATACGGCCTGCGAGACTTATCGACGAGCGTTATGTTTGAGTACTCTGTGTTATGCACACACAGAGGTAAGAGAGAAAGAGAGAGAGAGAGAGAAAGAGAGAAAGCGTGTCACTAACTCTATCGGAAAACGATTTCTACGAGCGATCCCTTAGGCTTCGCTTTATGCTGAACGTTTATACGTTCGTGAATTACCTGACACGATAAGCAATCACAATATTATTAGAATCTGTCGTTAGGGGAAGGAAGATAAATTGCAAAACAAAAAACTTGCTCGTATATATATATATATATATAAAATTGATTGTACGTAAAAAAAAGATTAATAAGATCGCGATTATAAAGTTTTTTAAACACGACGAGACAGTTTGTCACGGAAAGACGTTTTTTTCTTCTCCTTGAGTACAATATATCTCATTATTACGCCGACAGACGGTCCCGCTGATAAATTTGTAACTCGTGTTAATTGATTAATGAAATCGCGACTTCGACGGTAGTAAAGTAATTGGAGAAGGATCGGAAGCCTCGAGGCACAGAACGCCGAGAGCAGCAATGGCCACTTAGCCACATTGCAACAGGCATTAGCGGTAACGAAGTTAACGAGAGCTCGGTTAAACCGGTTTAGAGGCCACGAAGACGCGCCAGGGGGACGAAAAGCCTAAAACCCGACGGCGGTCTTCGGCTAAGCCTGGCTCCTTCGACCTTGGTATTAGCAAACTCCCACAACGCCCTTCGTCATCTTCACTTTCCTCTTCTCTTGAGTACTTTCCGATATCCCAGAAAAGGTCTAATAATATTCAAATCTGCGGAATATTGCATACTAAAAGATCCGCGTCCGCACTTCATGAAACTTTCGTATGTTTACTTTTTGTCCAAGTTTTTTTTTTTTTTTATTATTAAATGTATACGCGCTATATATGTATATACGATTCAACAGTTGGTTGAATCTCTCGGTACTCGTCTCCGGTGTATGTACGTGTTATTAAACGCAACCCTCGTGCGCGGGGGATGCTCGGGGAAGAGAGTGAGGTCTACGCGTAGAGATCGTTTGACTTGGTGAAACCAGATAGTCCAAGTTTTTAATTTGCTCGTACGACTCTGATTCTTCTTTCTGCTCGAGTGGGCACGAGGAACCTCTCCGATTTCAATTTTGCCACGAAGAATCCCCCTCGACTCGACTCGGTATATAGAAATACCGGACAAGAGAGAGAGAGTCCTCGAGAGCGCACTCAAGACTGAAGTACGCGCTCCAGGATCAATATTTATAATCTAGATTTTAGGACGGTCAAAAGGGAGACCTTTATGTCTAAAAGTGCCAAACAAGACCAGTGGCCGGTTTTGCCACGTTCCATTTTTCCGAGCCACTCCGTATATATTGCGATAGCGTGCGAAACTGTCTTTCCTACATATATTTATAGAAAATGACATATGTTTATAAATATATATTTATAAACATATATTTATATTTATTTATACGCGCGTATTATCTACACAGACATAGTTAACCTATAAGCGGATGTTTCAATCGATCCCGATTTGAAGCTACTGTTTCTATCGTTCGCATTCAATCGCTTGAAGCGTTCGTCGACGGGGAATGATCAGCTTTGTTCTAAGAACACGCAGGTCCCATTAACGGAATCACAGAGAGAGGTATCCCCCTCCGCGAAGCGGGGCTATGTGCAACGCCTCGCGATCACCGGTGCTGGCGTGTCTTCGAACGACGAAGCTTCTCCTCGAGAGATCTTTTATTTCGTGGAAAACGGAGGAGGAAGAGAAAAGGCGGCTCCCGAGCTCGTTAGCACGATTACGTTGGAAACTACGGCGGGAACACCCGATCACCGCTATCCGCCGTCTGCGGACAGACACGACGGCGAAGGGGCCTTTGTGAAGGCTCACGAGTAGCCGATGGTTGACTAAGACATTCCACCTACCGACAATTTCACTCAGAGACGCGGACAATCGGCCAGACACCCGGTAGTTCGATGGTTTCGAACTGTGATCGTGTACGTTTATCACAACGAAGCGAGACGGCGAATGGGCGGTCTTCGCTCGAAACCCTTTGAAGTTTCTAAAAGCCATCTCGTCACGCCCGATGTAACAACCTCCGTAGTTCGTGATGAAGTAGTCGATAACAAATGAAGAAACTGCGCGAGAGGTTGAAGACCTCTGCGTTCTTATAAACACATTTGCATCGATCCGTGTTCTGCTCAAGTGTGTAAATAAAATAAATCTTTGTTTATATCACACGGTAAAATAAATAAAATATATACAAGAGCAGTCTCTTTATTTTTATACAAAACTCTCTTCTTGGTACTCTTCCAGGAGTGAATATTATTTTCATTTTTATTTTCTTATTTTAACCTTTTCTTTCTTTAATGCAATTTTACCTCTCTGTGATATTGCGATTATTAAAAAAGATCAGCATAAGGTCTTGCGATTTACGTAAACAAAAACTTTGTCGTAACTCAAAAGAGGATACGGCATCGTTATACAATTTGCCGTCCCCAGTTGGAGGGTTGCGTCTTCCGTTCGATTTGGGGCGGGCTGGCTTTTTCACTAATGAATCGGGAGTGTGAGAAACGTTTCGAAAGGGGCAGATCTTTCTGTTTGATCTTATTTAAAGAACGGACGTGATTAAAAACTTCCTTTCTCTACAAACAATCTTATCGAATAATACAAATAGGTGCGCAGTGTTCGAGAGACGCGCATTTCTCTCTCTCTCTCTCTCTCTCTCTCTCTCTCTCTCTCTCTCTCTCGGATTTATTTATTATTATTATTTATGGCACATTTTAATTTTGCTTATATTGGAAAATTCATGTAAAAATTTATTAGCGGAACTTGACGTCACGCCGGGGGAATCACTACAGTTAAAGTAGTCGCCAATATTTCCAGTGTCACAGTTCTACGCGCTTTTGTGAACCTTAGTTCATTCACGAGCACTCGCTTTATCCGCTCTTCGCGCTCGAACTTTTTTAATTTCCGCCCGTGAGAGACTGCAAAAATGTTCGCGCAAAAATCCCTGCAATATTTACTCACATTTCCCGCCTTTTTCTCGTTTTGTTCGCGAATTTCGTAACTCAATCTGCCCCGCGCGCACTCGAGTTTCGTCCCGCACTCTCCGCCAACACAATCGCCGCGAAAGTTCAGATCAATACCAATAATCCTTCCCGGCCGTGGTGCACTCTTCCTTCGTTTTCTTCGGCAATTATTCCGGCGTGCCTATGGTTACGCGTTCCGCCATTTTCGCCACGATCGTGGG